AATCAGAAGGTCGGAAGCCGCCGGTGTGTGCGTGCGTGTGCGCGGTGGGTGGGGCGGCCCAGAGCGGGTTCCCGATTGGCTGGCGCGCCGTAGGGGCGAAGTCCCCCGCTCTCGCGCGGGGATCTCGTCATAGGTGAGCGCTCCCGTGTGGGGTTTGCATGGTGTTGCGGCCGCCGACTCCCGGCCTGAGGACACTTCCCATTACTCTCGCCCCTTCCCCCGGGGACAGGTGGTCCGGGTGTGCGGAGCCCGGCCGCCTCAAGGTCAGTTTTGTCTGAGCCGCATGGTCCGCGGTGTGAGAGCTCAAGGGGTTCAAGCCACAGGACCAGCGATTTGCTAGGGGAGGAAAGCTTTCCCCTAGGGCAGTGGTTCTCAACTTCCTAATGCGGCAGCCCGGCCGCCTCAAGGTCAGTTTTGTCTGAGACGCATGGTCCGCGGTGTGAGAGCTCAGGGGGTTCAAACCACAGGACCAGCGATTTGCTAGGGGAGGCAAGCTTTCCCCTAGGGCAATGGTTCTCAACCTTCTAAATATCTGATATGCAGGATGTATTTTCATTGTTACAAATTGAACATAATTAAAGCATAGTGATTAATCACAAAAACAATATGTAATTATATATGTTTTCCGATGGTCTTAGGCGACCCTTTGTGAAAGGGTCGTTCGACCCCCAAACGGGTCTCCACCCACAGGTTGAGAACCGCTGCCCTAGGGGCTAAGTTCTTGTTTTCCCAGTTTTGCCCCTATTCTGGGGCTTTTTTGCTCTGGTGCGTTTGTGTACTTGGCAAAGGGTCGTTCGACCCCCAAAGGGGTCTCCACACACAGGTTGAGAACCGCTGCCCTATGGGCTAAGTTCTTGTTTTCCCAGTTTTGCCCTTATTCTGGGGCTTTTTTGCCCTGGTGCGTTTGTGTACTTGGCCCATGGTCCTTGCTCAGCTCATGACTAATTGCCTATCACGTGTATATCTATATCTGTAAATATCGATAATATCTATCAATATAGTCTCTTGATTCCCACCATTTACACACTTCTGTAAAGAACCCCCCTCCCTGCACCTCTCACTGCTGTGAATACTGATTGCCTATCTGCTTTCTCCCACTCTGTCTCTCCCAACAACGACTTAGGGCTATTTTTACAGTCCGCTAATTCGCCCAGAATGAGTGCCTCTTCTGGGAGGCCCTGCCATACTCAATGGCACTGCAAATAGGCTTTTATTGACTGATCTCTGGGCTCTCCAAGTCACTTTGCCCTCATACTGAGTGCATAGCACCATCTGTTTGTCTCGATGGCTTAATGAATCGAGGCTCATAAAGGTGGCCGACATCTGAATTCGATCCCGTCACAGTAAGCACAAAATAATGGATGGAAAAATCACTTGAATACCTCTGGGAGAAAAATGGATTATTATACAAAGAGTCACTTCACTCCATTTGGTGGCCCTGAGGGACTCCCTCTGTGCTGATGCTTTTGCCTAAGGACTGGAACCTGCCTGCCCTGTTGTGGGAAAACCAGAAAAGAAAGGTTTTTTTCTGCCTGACCCAAGTTCACTCTGAATCAGCAGTCAAGTGCTAGCCATCAGAGTCCGGCCATTTTGCTTTATAAGGGCCAGGAAAGCTTTTTAATTGATGAGTGTTAAGTAACCACTAAAAAAGTGAGCTAGTGTTGGGCTGGTGTGGCTCAGTGATTGAGTATTGACCTATGAACCAGGAGGTCATGGTTCGATTCCTGGTCAGGGCACATGCCCCTGTGGGCTCAATCCCCAGTAGGGGACAAGCAGGAAGCAGCCAATCAATGATTCTCTTTCATCATTGATGTTTCTAACTCTCCCTCTCTCTTCCTCTCTGAAATATATACACTAGCGGCCCAGTGCACGAATTTGTGCAGTAGTGGGGTCCAGCCGGCCCGCCTGATGGGAGCCATCGGGGACAGGCTGGCTGGGGCGAGGGTCCACGGGTGGTTTGTTGGCCAGGACTCTGCCCCCGATCAGGGTGGGTGAGCCCACTAGGGGCAAGGCCGGCCGGGGGGAGGGGCCATGGGCATTCCGGTTGTTCTGCCGTTTGGTCAATTTGCATATTGCCTTTTTATTATGTAGGATATATATTTAAAAGCGAGCCTGTTACCTAGCACAGTGTGGCTGATCAGAGAGAAATCACTGGCAGCGAGAGGTGTTAAGTGTATTGTCCAGACTGTAGATTCCCTAGAAACTGGATGGGCTGTTGCTTAAGGGCAGTTTACCAATAACTTAAAAAGACCACATTTGTTCATTTGCTCTTACATTTAGCTGGGATCTGGAATCCTTGTGATCCCTGGGCTGTAGTGAGTGAGCTGTCCACGTCCTCCCCTTACCTGCAAGTATCTTAAGCCAGAAGCAAGCAGAACCACATGCAGCTACCCAAACAGCCCTGCCAGAAGGCATTAGGGGTGAGTTAATTAAATGTTTAACCAAATATAGCATGCTAGTTTTTAAGTTGATACTTTTTTCTTTAAAAAAATATTTTTATTGATTTCAGAGAGGGAGGAAGGAAGAGAGAGAAACATCAATGATGAGAGAGAATTTAAGTTGATAATTTTGTATGGTCCCGTGAATGATGTTATAAATATCCAAATGGTCCGGCTGGCATGGCTCAGTAGTTGAGTGTCAACCTATGAACCAGGAGGTCACAGTTCAATTCCTAGGTCACAGTTCAATTCCCTGTTAGGGTACGTGCCCAGGTTTCGGGCTCAGTCCCCAGTATGGAACTTGGAAGAGTCAGCCTTTCAGTGATTTTTCTCTCATTGATATTTCTCTCTCTCTCTCCCTCTCCCTTCCTCTCTTAAATCAACAAAAATATATTTTAAAAATAGTGACATCATCAAACACTGCAAAGATGTGGAGAAGTGATTGTTCCTGCGGTAGCGGTGGGAATGTAAATGGCACAGCCACTCTACAGAACAGGCTGGCTGTTTTTTCTTGTCCCAGTCAGAATACTATTGGGCAAACCATTCCCAGGAGAGGGGAGCATCAGGCCATCTGACACTGGCCAATTAGCGAAGGGCCAGAGGAGATCGCCCGTCTGTCCCTTAAGCAGGGTGGAAGTATGGGTAAGCTTTAGATGGAGAGAAGGGGAAAAGAGATAACCGTCAGTCAGAGGGCCACAGAGTTTGGAATATGTAAAATACACTGTTTGATCAATGCAGAGTACATCTTGAGAAGGCTGTAAACCCGGGCTTTGGTAGCGGCAAGGTACAGGGAAATTGCTGCCCATATAGGTGCGTCAGACTTAGAGTTTCCAAACAGGGAGATTAGCTCACTAGGTGCAAACAAGTCTTTGTACTCTAGGCAGTAGCCCTATTGAGTAGATGACTAAGGCAATCCACCTATGTGACTTACCAGGTCAGGGAGAAAAAGGGAGTGGTGGACCAGGAATGATGGGCAGTTCTGGCAGGGGGGCAGCATGAGTCACCCTCCCCAGGGTTAATACCAGGAGATCAGGCCAAGGGCTTATGCGGCTCATTTTCTTCACCTTCCCCCAAATTCTAGTTATGTCAGTTCTCTCATCCTCTGACTTCTCTGAGG